TAAATTTATATATATAGTAGACGAGTCCATTGAACATAAAAAAATTGTATACATACGTTCCGTGATCAAATTCCATTCAGTAAACATAGCGAAACTGATGCCGAAGATGCATTTATATGTACAAAAGGTACAATGATACATATGTGCGTACTAGTTTTTTGCGTACAGAACACACACTTTTACATATGTATGATATCTAACTTGTTCCCTTTATAATCCTAAACACAGAACTGGGCGGGCGGGCTATTGTATACATAGGCGCGATTGATGAATGAACGTATATGTTATGCACACAAGTCCCGAACTTGTTGACCACGCGTATATTTGTAAACTTGCGAGAATTGTGCATACACTCATATGTATACGTTATTTCTACCTACTTCTAAGCGCGGAGCAGAGCACCGGCCGTATACATGAACGCAGTATATCTTTAAAAACGTTCACTATATTTATGCATGTGCACAATACGCGTCAGTGTGTGCTCATTCATATGCCTTAATACGCTTCACATATTTGAGGCATGGGTCTGAGTACCGCCATTATTGTACCAGACTCTACTATACTATACTATTATATAGGGACGAGATGGATACGTAAATGTATATGCACAGTATATGGGCACAATGGCAGATGATGTTCACTTCGCAAAGACATTCACACAATTCCTATGGATGTACACAAATTCATCAAGTATATGCACAGGTTGTTCATATATAAGTAGTAGATCATCGGCCATACTATGTACAGAAAAAATATCGATACGTTAACGTATGTCTACAGTATATATACACGATGCGTGTATGTGTACACACATCCATACTTATATACAATTTAATTTCTGCATGCTTGTAGGCACGCAACAGAGCACCGGCTATCATTTACATAGACGAGATTGATGCAATCGGAAAGGCGCGTGACGGCGGGGGTGCGGCGGGAGGCAATAGTGAGCGAGAAAACACACTCAATCAGTTGCTGGTAGAGATGGATGGGTTCAACACCACCGAAGGCATTGTGGTACTAGCGTCTACCAACAGGTATATTTATTCTTTTCATGTACGTATGTATATGTGAATGCATTGAGGGTACGGTAGCAGGAGAATCTATCAGTTTATTATTTTGAATTATTGGTTTATCATTTCGAATAACCAGTTTATTATTTTAATTTATCAGTTTATTATTTTATCTTATCAGTTTATTATTTTGAATTATCAGTTTATCATTTTAACTTATCAGTTTATTATTATAAATTATCAGTTTATTAAATTTTAAATTATCAGTTTATTATTTTAGCTTATCAAATTATTATTTTAACTTATCAGTTTATTATTTTAAATTATCAGTTTAATATTTTAAATTATCAGATTAATATTTTAAAGTATCAGCTGATGCACATAGTTGAATTCATCACCGCATATCTCGTATTCGTCTGATGCAACGTATTGCGTCTGAGGTTTGCGTCCACGTCGTTCCTGTTGCGTCGGTGACCAGTGTGGCTGTCGTTTGCTTTGACGTGTGGTTGCCATGGTGATCGTAGCTGCAACTCAGGCGAGAGTATTAGGCGGTTACTAATAGGTTTTTGTTTCTGCTAGAAATTTCCGGATTCTAGGCAGGAGGCAGGACTCTATTGTAGCAGGAGCGTCTATCCGTAGTCCTGTAGTTGAATATGCCGGTTTGCAATTGCTCATATAACCATGTCGTTGAATGCGTTCAAGTATGGCGTGCTTGTGCCCCAAACTCGGCGCATCTTCCATGTCCTATATACATACGTACGTACATCGCATATGCAGTGCAACTCACTCAGACCGTATACGGCCGACAGACCACTGTTACGACCAAGTTTGTTTGACCGGCAGATGGGAGTGGGTGTTTCTGAACTTACGACATCCTCTCTCACTTACATTCACTCATATGAATGGACAATCCTACTAATTATTCTTTAAAACCAATTGACAATCCTATTAATTACCAATTAATACCAATTGACAATCCTACTAATTGTTCTTTAAAACCAATTGACAATCCTATTAATTACCAATTTGTACCAATTGACAATCCTACTAATTACCAATTACACACTAAGTGTGTTTTTGACGTTCATGTTTTATGCTTATTGCTTGATTCACGCATGTACACCATTGCAGAAGTCATGCATGCAGTGTATATCTTAGCGTGGTTTACGCGTGTATGTAACGTTTATTATAAAAATAAACGTACTCTTGTCCACACAGACCGGATACGTTGGACAAGGCCCTGTTGCGACCAGGTCGGTTTGATCGGCAGGTAGAAGTGGGCTTGCCGGATAGGCCCGGGCGTTTGGAGATCTTTAAACTACATATGAAGAACCTGACCATGGAGACAGGTATGAACCAGCATTGTATGTTCTTCAGTACATACATATGTGTATGCCTACTTATATATGTACATCGGTACACATGAGGGTATATTGAAGTTTGCGTTATTAGTGGAAGTGGGAGCCCCGGGTGTTGGGATGTCTTCAAACTACACATGGGAAATGTGAGCATGGAAGTAGGTATGCGTTTGCATTGCATATTATTCGGTATGTACTCATATGGATGCGCACTTATATATTTTCGTTCGTATACTTGAGAGTAGAGTTCTGTTTGGATAGATGGTGGGAGTGATAGGTCCAGAATTTTATTTATATTTAAAATACACTCCAAGTATGTGTCCATGGTGACAGGTATGCATACGTTTTCTTACACTGTACTATTCTCTGACTAGGTATATGTATATGTGTACATATTCCTACATATAGTATCTGGTTTTAGGGTTTAGGGTTTAACCCTAAAAAATATTCCTACATATAGTATCTGGTGCCCTCGGTATGTATGGTTTAACGTATATGGACTTATTCAAATAT